AGTAAACGTAGTAGTTAGTTAGTAAGTAACTAAGTAACTATAAGTAGTATATATATATATATATATATATATATATATACTATATATATATATATATATATATAATTTCCCTTTTTTTTTAATCCTCAGCAAAGTTTATTTCCGATTTCACATTAACTGCCATATATTATTACAATAATATCAAAACTCTGTAGGTTGAATATCCCCATGCCTTCCTAAAGCAAGTAACCTTGTCCGCGCCTATAGTTAGCAAGTCGGGGAATATCAATATATCGACTAACAGTAAAATCAGAAATAAATTGTTTTTATATTAAAAGTCGAATGAAAAATCGAGAAAAAACTACTGAACGGTAAAAATACTTTATATAAAAATGTTGCAAATATAGCGGACTAGGTTAAAAACCCGGAATGAAAAAAACAGATAAGTTTAAAAAAGGGGCACCATATTGATTAGACTAGCTATTCTAACTATGTACCGTACTAACTATATACCATTATTAACTATATACCATATTAATTATACGATTATGCACCGTACCATCCTTTGTACCTTATTTGGACTTTTAGAGAGGGGTGCATAATGCCTACGTAGTTGTAGAGAGAAGGTGCACCATCAAATTTTATTATGGAATATAATTTGATATAAAATGTTATTATTGTTCTCTTAAAATTTGTTTTTATATTTAATTATAAAATTTAAAATTTGAAAAATGATTAAAATCTAATAGATTTATAGACATAAAAAAATCTTGAAAATAAGTGATGTAGATAATATGCAGTAAATTATATTTATTTTTTAGACTTAATTACTTTTTATGGTCAAACATCTGGATTTGGATATGATATCTCCACCATCAATCGGATGGTTTTTCAATATTAAAATTACTTTTTTCGATAATATTAAATCGACCTTTTTCTATAGATTATTGAGGTCCATCCGTAGTTATACATTATAAACGTTTTCTGACAACATTAAAACTACGTTTTTCGATGAATTTTTTAGGTGCATCCGTACTTATACATTGTAAGGCGTCTTTACATAAACTTTGTCCCTTAGAGGGAGAAGACGAGAGTAAACTTATTCATTTAGAGAGAGAAGACGAGAGTGGGTGGCCATTTCCTTTGGAGCCAGGAGAGAGAGAGAGAGAAGTGGCGTAGGAGAAAGAAATGCAGAGGGAGAGAAAGAGGTGGATGCAGAGAAAGAAATAGAGGGCAGGAGGTGACCACGGATCTCTCAAAGGAGCACAGAAGGGCAGATAGGGTTTTTCAGAATGGTGCTGTCTTCTTGAAGCAGATGATGGGTTGAATCAGGTTTAGGGAAAAACACTTTGTTCTATGTTAATTTGGGGATTTTTGAGTTATGTTAAATTTGGGGATTTTTTATGTGATTTGAAAGTTCTGTATCAGATTGTCCTCTATTTTCCCCTAAAGTACATACAACCGCAATTAGTTCACAGCAAAAACTCACTGAAAACCATTTTTCCCTAAAATACATGCATATTTTCACCTAAAATACATTTTCGTATTTTCAAACACAAAAACGCATACAACTGCCATTAGTTCATAGCAAAAACTCAATGAAAACTACCATGAATTCTTGCACATCGAATCCTCTCTCTTCTTGCCAGTTTTCCCTATCTGACAATTTCTAGGGTTTCCACTCCATTGCTCTCACCCACCTGAAAAAATGGCGCTCAAAACTACCAGGATTGGCTCTTCTGTTGTAATTAGGGTTTATTTGAGCTCTTTGAATCTAACTTCCCATAGTTTCAGCTCTTCTTTTCTTTCTTACCCTAATTCTGAGGATTTAACATCGAAGGAAGACCTCATCAAATCTCTCTGTAAATCTGACATGGTTGATGAGGCTCTCGAGCTCTTCAAAGAAGTGGCTTCGGAGGTAACCCCAAAACCTTCTATTTCAACCTGTAATTATGTTCTGGCTACTCTAGTTAGGGTTAACAAATTCCAAGCTACATTATCTACTTATGATCTCATAAACCAGTCTCGAATTGTTCCTGATCTTGTTACTCTGAACATTATGATGAATTTTTATTGTGAAACCCATCAAATTGATCGTGCTTTTCAGGTTTTAGACCAGATTCAAGCCTTTAATTATGCACCCACTGTTGTTACTTATAATACTTTGATTAAGGGTCTTTGTAAGAGCAAAATGGTTAGTGCAGCTTTGAGAATTTTGCAGAAAATGGGAATGGAAGGGCCCTTTCCAAATGATCGAACTTATTCAATTGTCATTGATGGTCTTTGTAACTCTTCGAGATCAGAATTGTGTTTGGGTTTGATTGGGGAAATGTTGCAGAAGGGGTTGAATCCCACCGTTGTTACTTACAACACCATTCTAGCTGGCTTGTGCAAAGATGGAAAAATTAGAGCTGCTAAAAAGCTCTATAAAGAGATGAAAAATCAAGGAATTAGGTCAAATTTGCTCACCTACACTGCACTTATTGATGGGTTGTGCAAGGAAGGCTCATTAGATGAGGCCAAGAAGTTGTTTTACGAGATGTCGGAGAAGAATATATCTCCAAGTGTTGTTACATACTCTGCCTTGGTACATGGGTTGTGCGCTAAAGGGCAGTGGCGAGATGCCACGATGATTCTCCATGAGATGCTTGATAGGGGACTAAGCCCTAATGTTATTACATACACGGGAGTGTTGGGTGGATTATGTAAGGAAGGTAGGCTCCCTCAAGCTTTGAGATTGTTAGATTCCATGTTTCAAAAGGGCATAGAGCCTAATGCCGTGACATATACTACTTTGATCGATGGTCTCTGTAAAGGTGGGCGTTTGGATGATGCCATGCGAACCTTTCGTCTCATGGAAGAGAGGGGACATGGGTCTAATTTGGTGGCTTATAGCGTGTTAATTGATGGTTTTTGTAAGATTGGAAAGATAGAGGAAGCCATGGAGCTTTTTAGAGAGCTTGTTGCTAAGGGATCCAGACCTCATGTGATTATTTATAACACCTTGATGGATGGATACATCAAAATGGGGCAGCTCGAAGTTGCTCAAAGACTCTTTGATGAGATGAAAGAACAAAACGAGGAGCCTAATGTTACGAGTTATACTGTGTTGATGAATGGGTTTTGCAAAGCAGGTGCTTTGGAGAAGGTCATGGACTTGTTTGAGGAAATGACAAAGCAAGGGAAAAAACCGAATGTTATCACTTATAATACACTCATAAATGGGTTGTGTAAAGCGGGCAAGTTTCAAGATGCAAAAGGAATGCTTTCTGAAATGTGTGAGAGAGGGATTGAGGCTGATGTGGTGACATATTCATCAATTATAAATGGCTTACGCAAGAAACAACAATTGAATGAGGCCAGGGAAAGTTTTGCTTATGTGGTGGAGAAAGGGATCCATCCAAACATTGTCACTTACAATAGTAATTTGCAAGAGCTTTGTGTGAAAGGTGAGATTGAAGAGGCGCTCAAGTTACTCCATGAAATTAATGTGAGTGATATTGCACCATCTGCTTATACAATCTCTCTGTTCCTTGAATGTGTTCATAAATCTGGATATTTTGAGAAGGCCTCAGAATTGATTTCAGTGTTGGCTAGTAAACGACAGAAAGATGGTACCCACTCTGATGTTGAACTATTGGACATTCTTTGTAACGAGTTCAATTTACCCAACCAAAAGTCTTGATTGCTTCCCCCAGCATGATACTGTAACATTTTTGTTGTAAATTCTTGGTAATTTTTACTGTGATTGGTCAAAAGGTAGAGCTCATTGTATTTTAGAACCTGTCATGATTTATTCATTTTGTACAGAAGTTACAGGGTTCTTTCAAAGAGTTCCATATTTGGCATCTTTCCTGTTAAGATTTCTGTAGAGAGGAATTGCATATTATTTTGGGAAATTGTATCAATGTTACTCTTTATTAAACTATTTCAGAGGTTCTGACAATTTGTTTTATGATTGAAAGATATGTGTATGCAGTATTCCATAGATTAGATTCAAATGTATTGTACATATGTAGCTTGTTCATAGGCTTTCGAGCTAAAAATGTAAATGCATGCGCCCTAAAGTAAAAGGTAACTGTTGAAAGCCGTAATGAAAGCATAAACATATCGCATTGTTAGATGTGTACTGTCTGATTGTCAACTTCCCAGTGTCATTCTGGTTCAGGAAGCCTTACATAGACTCTTCACATGTACTAAGCTTCCTTCCTTCTGTCTTTGAAAATACCTTATCTTAAATACCACCAGATCTTAACTGTATTATTCTGGCGTTATTTGTACATGTTTCATTTAATATTTTGTATGTCTATAGGGTAGATTGCCTTAAGACTGTAAAATGCTTCAATCGCATGCTTAGAATTCTGAGGGTATATGTTCACTTCTATTTTGTGCACCTCTCTGCTATGAAAGATTAGAAATTATTGTTACTCGGCCCTAGCCTGAGGTGAGTTACTTGGGGGTTCACTTGGACTCGCTTGAAAAAAAAAGCTGTTGAAAAAAAAAAAGGAGCAAAAATAGTATAGTTTCAATGAAACCAAGAACAATCTAAAAAGTTCAAATTATCTTAACAAAAATTACAAAATATGGATTAAGAAAAAGAATGATTTATAGTTGGGGATAGTTTAAAAAATCCAAAAAAAAGAAAGAAAAAAGATATATGGCAAAAAAAGAACTAACTGATCTTTGACTAGAACATCCAAATTAAATATATACATCTATCCCATATATTTATATATCTTTTTGTATTTTTGTTCTATTTTTTAATATGACACGAGTTATCCTGGGTAACTTGGCTCACCAAGGGGATGACCACTTGGCTGACTTGCGAAAGCTGCCTTCAACTTCAGGCATTTCATGCTTCCACCATCAAAATCCTCTCAGTGGAGATATTCTTGTTTAGTCCCCACATCAGTATAATTGCTGCATTTCAGGTGCATATTTAGGTTTGTGCATTCTGGCGTTTGTTAAGAGAGAAAGAGAGAGAGTTGACTAAACATATCGTAAGCGGACAAGAAAATCTCAACTCTGATATTTCAGTGTTCCTATGATGCATCCTGAGGAAGAGATGCATCCTCCATACTGATACCAGATTCAAGAGTTTCTTTTCACAATATGTTTAATTAACTTTCCCTCTCTCTCTCTATCGCTCATGACAGCAGGTTAGATATTGGTGTGTAATGAAAATAGCAGGAGCTCTTTAGTATCTATTATTTATCAAAGGGTGGTTTTCCTGGATATTCAATTTTTAACGCATCGTATGGGCAAACATAGAGTTAAGAATAAAGTGAAAATAAAGAAATTGAAGATACAGTGATGCCAATTTGAGAAAAAAGAAAAAAAAGTTACACAAGTGAATTCAAAAAAGAAAAGAAAAACAATATTAATAGAAATGACTACATTGACAACTATATTTGATTTTGAGCCCATATCTAATGCGGTCCGTATTTCAAGCTCCATGAGGAATCTAGCTTCCTTAACAGAAATGGAATGGAAGTTGATGTTGAAAGTAAAACATATACCAATATATAGAAGGGAAAATTTATTATTTAAGGTTGTATGCTTACAATATAGAAGACGGTGCACATAAAAAATCCACTAGAATAAGTGTTCCAAAGTTAAAAAACCTTTCAGTTGATAATCTCGACCTCAAGATGTATTGAGATAAAAATAAAATAAAAATTCAAGTCATAAGAATGGTGCATCTTGTAATAAGTTATCTCGACCTTCTATTCAAAATTTTCAAATGTTTATAGATCTATTTGATCCCTGTATTTTTGGATTTTTTAATTTCATAATTAGGATTGAACACGAATTTCGAACGACCATAAGGTTTCCAACACCACAATTATATCATCTGGCAAAATTTAGAGGTGTGCCTTACTTGAAATGTATAAGGTGGGCACCTTATACAAACCTCACCCTTTATAGAAAATGCAACTTGGAGATAAAAGGAAAAAGAAAATTTAGCATGGCATAAAAGAAAAAAAAATTGGAATGAAAGGAATGAAACCCAATACGGAAATCAAAGAAACAACTGGACGGAATCTTCCATGTTCTTCTTTTCAACTTCTTTTAGTTTCTTCTTATTCCTTGTTTGGTATTGTTTTCCAAGTATTCGATGTTCCAACTCTTTTTTTTCATGAGTACTTATTTGTTAATGTTTAGGGAAGTTTAGGCTAGTATGCCCAATAACTTGTGGAACTCATCTAGTTTTAATATTCTGATGGGAGATTGATTTTGACTTCTATAATCCTAACTGTAGAGCTTGTATGGTTATACACCCTTGTCAATTATGTGTTATTATTCGTGAGTTTTAAAATCCTTACTGTGGTGCATATATGCTTGCTTAGTTTTCTAAATAGTGTGTTCTCGTTCATGAGTAACTGTGGAGCTTATATGACTGTGAGGACTAGTGAAGTATGCTTATTTTTCTATATATTTTTTTGCTGATAATTTTGCTATAAACATGTCTGTGACTTTAATTTGTTTTTGTTTTTAGTTATAAGTGTTTCAATTTCTGTTTTTTTTCCTTCCCTATCTCTCCCTTTGAACTTATGCAGGCTGTCTATATCATCGGTAACTGATAGGAGACTCACTGTACCACAGTTAATTTATAAATTTTTTTACGTTTTATTTCTTTGCCCTCTTTTTTGCATGTAACAGTCTCACTAGTCTGTTAGGACATAAGTCCTTTTATTGTGAGACATATGGCCATATCAAGCCTTCTCTCACATCGTTCCACTCCTGCTCTCACCGAGACATGTTCTTTATATTTTAAATTTTTTATGTTGTTCATATCTTTCACTCTGTTTGATTTTTGCATAATATGTCACTTTCTGTCTCTCTAGAATAAATGAATCCATGTTTGATGCTTCTAAGAGTTATCATCATAACCCATCTTTGAAGGGGCGGGAATCTCTCTTTCTCTCTCTCTCTCT